CACTATTTTTAATTATAGGAAATGCGTTTTTCTAAGGCACATCAACTTTTGGTATTGACTGTATAGCCAATACATCCTTAATAAAATACACGGATATATTAAAATTGGTTTTATTTTAAGTGTATAGAAAGTATCTTTGAATTAAACTAGTGAATATTTATTGATTTACCCTGTGTATTTAATCATAGTGTGGCTCGTCTTTACACAGTGTATAGTGATCAATTGTGTGCGAAACACTGTACGACTATTCTCTGAGACTTCTGAGAGGTCAATTTAGTCCTAATTCAAAGAAATATAATTCTAATTATTTTTTACTTCAACGTACGTACATTTAATTACTTTTATCGTGCAATGTCAGCATAATCGCATACATGGTCCCAGAAAATAATTATTATAGAATACTTAAGTTCCATAGTCATCTCATTAATTATTTCTTAAATTATTTCTCACCGGCTGCGACGAATTTTGAGGGCTCTGCACGAGCAGCTGTTGAAGCGCCTGGTTCTGTGCTAATAATTGTTGCTGAATCTGAATGTTCTGAGCCATGGCGCTTTGAAGGAAAGCTCGCTGCAGGTTTTGTTGATAGGCCATCATGTCGTTACTCTGGTTAGGCGGTGAATTCGGGTATTGAGGGAGGTTGAGTCCTTGCATGCTATAAATTGGTATGGGCATGAACCCGGGGTTCATGTTCATACTCGAACTCTGAGGCGAGGGCACTTGTTGCGGTGGACTGAACATCGGCATCATCATCGGGGGTGACATCATCCCCGGCGTAATGGCACCAAAGTTAAAGCTTGTATTCTGATTCGGTATATCCATGTTCCCACCACCCTTGATCTTCTCGGACAATTCTCTGGCTGTAATCTCTGTCCCATCTGCGTTCATCATCGATCCGATGAAGTCTTGCATCGTTTCAATCCCTGTTTCTCGATTGTTAAACCTCCTTTCTAAGTCTTCGAGAATTATAGCATTTTGGGTTCGGTCACCCTTCGATCCTTTGATACTAGCCGCCAAACTCCTGGCGTCGGAGAGCTCGTCCAAATTCCCGTCCAAAACTGGCATAAACAGTTCGTCCAAGAATTGGTCCACATCCGAGGCTTGACTAGGCACCCTGACTCGCCTTACGTGCGACGCCAGGGATGGAGCCTCGCTCGTGTCGGACATGGCAGACGATTTCACACCGTATTCGCTCTTTTCGATGTACGCACGGCTCGACTGACTGCCTGGCGGAGCTCGTTTACCTTCAAATTAAAAAAAAAAATAATTTATGTTTTGTAAAACTTTTATAAGCAAATTATTATTCAAGGTAACACATTTATGAGAATTAATTAAAAAATCCATTTCAATTGGGAGCTGTGATATGCATTAATTTTTTATGTCTTGTATAATTTTGTATAAGCAACGATTACATCTTATGTATTCATTTCTTTTTTGTAATCGTTTAAATCTATTTATATAAGACTATTATTATAAGACTCACCGGGATACTGAGACTTGACGAATCTAGTCTGCGACCTGATGTAACTGCTCTTGTCGTCTTCAGATCGTCCGGTCTGACTGACCGATTGAATATCCGGGTACTCGAAATCAATAGTTAAATCTTCTTCCTCTATATTCGGTTCTGTCGTTCGAGTTATTCTACTGTACTTCCTTTCTTGCGCAATCTCGTTCCTGGTCATGTACTCTACGTTACTAACGGCCGAAGTCTCGCCAATCCTTTCCAAGCTGTGATACCGTTCGTTTAACTTCGACGAAGACAATCCCAGATTTGCTAGCTTCACCGGAGATGGGACCACTTCCGGTTGAAGTAAATTGTCCAAACTACGACTGCGTTGTTTTTCCTTTTCGAAGTATCTGTCGTTCAGGGCTGATTTCCGAGACAGCCCGGTGTCCGCCGTGGTTTCTAGCATCGCTTCGTGAGACTGTTTCCTCACCTAAGGAAATAATTAATAATTCTCACCGATACAAATTTAATTAATCTTAAGTGATATTGAATTCATGTCTTGCAACACTCTTGATAAGTATTTAAAATTTAGCAAGCATTCCTGATTGTTTGTAAAACTTTTATAAGCAAATTATTATTCAAGGTAACACATTTATGAGAATTAATTAAAAAATCCATTTCAATTGGGAGCTGTGATATGCATTAATTTTTTATGTCTTGTATAATTTTGTATAAGCAACGATTACATCTTATGTATTCATTTCTTTTTTGTAATCGTTTAAATCTATTTATATAAGACTATTATTATAAGACTCACCGGGATACTGAGACTTGACGAATCTAGTCTGCGACCTGATGTAACTGCTCTTGTCGTCTTCAGATCGTCCGGTCTGACTGACCGATTGAATATCCGGGTACTCGAAATCAATAGTTAAATCTTCTTCCTCTATATTCGGTTCTGTCGTTCGAGTTATTCTACTGTACTTCCTTTCTTGCGCAATCTCGTTCCTGGTCATGTACTCTACGTTACTAACGGCCGAAGTCTCGCCAATCCTTTCCAAGCTGTGATACCGTTCGTTTAACTTCGACGAAGACAATCCCAGATTTGCTAGCTTCACCGGAGATGGGACCACTTCCGGTTGAAGTAAATTGTCCAAACTACGACTGCGTTGTTTTTCCTTTTCGAAGTATCTGTCGTTCAGGGCTGATTTCCGAGACAGCCCGGTGTCCGCCGTGGTTTCTAGCATCGCTTCGTGAGACTGTTTCCTCACCTAAGGAAATAATTAATAATTCTCACCGATACTAATTAATCTTAAGTGATATTGAATTCATGTCTTGCAACACTCTTGATAAGTATTTAAAATTTAGCAAGCATTCCTGATTGATATTCAAAGTAACATTTTTTACGAATACAATGTGTATATCTTGTAGTAATTTTAATGTAAATTACTCACCGATGGCTTTGCCACTGGCGGCTGCGGCGGTGGAACGGCCGGTCTCCTCGGTGATTGGATTTCCGGCTCGACAGGTTTATCCATAATCTTCGGTACTGGTTTTCTTTCGAGCGGTTGGAACGTTTTTAGAACCGGTGGCTCTATTTCCTGCTCCAGCTCTCGAATTATCTGTGCATGCTAACAGAATTATTTTATTACATCAATCAACCGCGATAATATTAATTAGTATACTCACTTCTCTCTTTTTGATCGGCGGATAACTGTTCTTTCGCTGCTCCAAGAACATGTGTTTTGCAGCTGGGAACGCCGGCGCAAGTTCCATCTCAGAGATCAAATCTAAAACGTAATCGAATCCGTTGGTTTCCGTAACGATCGCGTCGGGACCTTCCAATTGGTTCCACAGAGTGATGGTCCATCCGGCATTGTCCACCCCGTGATTGTGAACGGCTAAATTGGCCAGTTCTTCGCACGTCGTCCAAGAGTCCACCGTGCAGGTGACTGTCTCGCCTGAAATTAATTAACAGATCCAGTTGTACTTCTTATATCAATCCTTTCACAATTTGTTTCGTCTTATTCCTTTAATTTACCGTCATAGAATCCCACGCTCAGAGCCATGTTGACACGATTCCTATTAGCTCTCCATTCCAAAACACAGGGAGGATAATTCCTTGGAATATGATGAACAATTTGCTGATTACTGTTCATAATTCGGTATATAGTTCTCTCCCCTTGCAGGAGTTTCCTCTGACAGTACGCCTTGTAACCATCGTATGCGTGGTCAGACACAAATTTCAAAATATATTTAAACAGAGTCGCACTAGGTTGAAACGCTGACAGACAATTTGACAACAGCAGCCATCCTCTCTCCTTATTAGCATCGTTTTCGTTCTTCCACGTTTGATTCGCAAGTTGGCACAGGATTTCGTCCCTCAGTTTCTCATTAACAATTCCTTTGTTCACTATGTAATCGCCTAACGCTTGTTCCCGTTTACCGCTCAAGTTATTCTCGTTCATAAAGCGTAGAATCATTTTGAAGATCATCAACGAGTCTGTATAATCTTGGTCCCGGGCTTTTGCCAAAAATGGTGTCTTTATGGGCTCCCGTTTCATGCCAAAAATGTGACTCTTGAAGTAAATGTTGGTGAACTTGGAGAACTGGTATTGATCGATATCGTTCGGTAAGCTATAATTCTGATGCATGGGTATCACTTGTCCTACTACTTTCAAGAGGTTCCTCTCTGAATGAGTGGGCTGCCAGTCTGTAAAAATAATGTCAACAATCTCAAGTTTGACCTCAAAATATTTATAACACCACAAAAGAATTTGAATTATGAGAAACTATATTCTATATTAATATAAAATTATTAATTACCGTCGAGTTTGCTGTAAATAAAAGCCAGTTCAGCAGGAATTTCCAAGTGATTGACGCCGGCGACGGCTCTAGAAGTTCTCTCCTGCTCCTCCCTCTGTTGTTTCGCTTTGGCGCGTTCCTTACTGGCTCGCTCGATCTCCGCTCTCTTCGCCATCTCCTCTTTCAACACCTTGAACTTCTCACGCTGCTTTTTACCGCGGTATAATTTCTGTGCCATAAGAACGCCCCTCTTCAACGCGTTGTACTTCTTCCTCTTGCGATACCCGCGATAAACCGCCTGAATCAGCACCGTGCTCCGCGAGATATTTAGGAACCTTCTCCTGGCGAGGAACCCTCTGGTGTACCTGTAGTTTTCGTTCATTTCAAATAGATAATTAGTCCGTTGTTCGGCCGTGGGAACTAATGAGTATTTGTCGCACATTTGAATCGCTCGCGTGTATAGACGATGTATGTGTGTGGAAGATATACTGAGTCAGTCTTTTGTTCTTTCAAGTATTCTTTCATGTATTCAACACGTTATAGAAGTAGTATGTAGTTTTTACTCTGTTAATATTTAATATAATAAATATGTTTAATCAAACACCAACAGGAACAATTCTGCATTGAATGGTTTCTTAATTCGAGCTGGGAATAAGAACTTAATTGTTATAGTGCATTGATAGACTAATAGGATTGTGTTATTTGTACGGCTATAAAAATTCGATTTCTTATGGTACCTTTGAACAGTTATGGCAGCCCTTTCCAAAATCAGGGCTCTATTGTATTCCAGAGTCCTTTCCAACGATTCTCTTAAGAAAACCCTAGTAAGCCCGAGTTGGTATTGAGACTGGGCCTCTTTCGGTGCAGCTTTGTCCAAAATTATGCGGCAGAGCTCCTTGTTTGGGGCTCCGCGGGGCAGATGCGTGGAAACCAAATATCTGTATCGGTCTACAAAGTGGCCGAATAGAAGTCTCACTGGGTAACCGGTTTTTCGTATACGTATCGTCTCGAGCATTCCTGTGTAACGCAGTTGCTCCAGCACGCAGGGCATGTCGAATTTCATCGGCGCTTTCTCCGTATTAGGTTTTATACACCGTACGAACCACGGGTTACACCTGAATCGATAGATAGTTAATAAAAATGATTTTAATTCGGACTCTCGGTCGAGTTTGATATATCTTACTGAGACATGGAGTCCAGAAGTTGTTGCAGACTATCGTGAAACCGAGCAGACACAGTCGGCGTTCTCGGTTTCATAGTTACGAATCTCCCATTAGGTTTGTTCATAGTTTTGTTGGCTTCATGCGTCGTCCTTACATGTTGGAACATCTTGCTGACCATCTAAAGGCAATAGACAGCCAATTAAAAATCGTACAAGCTGGCTGACTCTAATTAAAGCGGCACTTACGGGTATCTTGCTGCTTATTAATAATTCCACCACGTCCGATCGGAGCGTGTCTCTATTTTTATCCAAGAATCCATCGACGTTGTACCAAACTTGGCCAGCGTAGTGTTTAATAGCGAACTCAGCAGAGTTCATCCTCGGTCTTGAATAGAGTTCGCTCAACGCGTGATTATAGTGGCACTTCTCTAGGAAGGACAAGTCCGTCGCTTTGGGAAAATTGCTCTCGTCGTCCAGAAGGTGGAGAATGCCAACTGGCTTTTTAGCGATTAGATGTATCACCGGTAAATTATCCTATTTATCGAACAGAAACTCTATTAAAATTTAAAGACAAGATTTGTAATTATGATTCGTTTATAAGAAATTAAATGAAGGATGTTGAACTCTGGTACAGGAAAGGCGATTTACTTATATGAAAGTTAATCGAACCGCTTAATCTAAACTTTCACTCACGGTATAATTAATAGTCGTCCAGTCTATTTTTTCCTTCGCGTACTCCTGCTGTTCCAGCTTGAATATGTGCTTGTTGAAATAGAAATGCAGATTCTCGTTCGCGTAGTTGATGCACAATTGTTCGAGGCTGTTCTCGGTGAAGTTCTCGAACCCGAATATATCGAGTATCGAAATCGCCGCCGTCTGCTTCGTCCCTTTGTAGACGATGTGGTTGACGCGTGCTACTAGCCAGGAGAACAAGGAACTATACAGAGCCTTGGCGAACGCGTCCCTGGCGTCCAGCGCCTGGTCGATGTTCAACGCCGTGAAAACTCTCTCGTTCCGGGCTTCCTGCGACCAAACGTGACTATCTTAAACGCAAATCACAAATCTAACTTCTTATCCAATAAATCATCAACAAGACTGCAGATTTTTATATTAAATATGAAGTATTATATTTTTATATAAGAAAAATCCGCAATCTGAACCGCAGGATATATTTAGTTTTTATTTTATGATTAATGTAACTCACCGTCGTTTTGGTAGTGAGCGCTCTGATAATCCCGTCGGAGTTTACTTGAAGCAGATGAGCCGCCCAACGAATCTCGGCGTCAGAACCGACCTCCACGCCTTCTTGGCCGTGTCTCATCTGCTTCCGGTGGAAGTACACGTTCCCAAGGTGTAGGACACTTGCGAGAATCTTGAAAATGGTGTCCTGTTCCTCGGACGTGAATCCCAGCACCTGCATCGCTGATAGGAGTGCTTTGAAATCTTGAGTATCGCTTTTCCCATCAATTTCACAGTTACCACCCTGTGAATTTAAAATCGTAATTTAATCTTTTCACATTTAACAACATTTTAGAGATGATTGTAGGAGTTTTAGTGACCTGGTTTAGGTAAAAGTATTTATCTGGTGTTAGTAATCCGTATTTGTCCCTGAGTTGCTGATCCAAACCAGCCAAGAGTTCATAGAAGACATGGTAATTCCTTTCTTCAGATGCTTGCGTCACTATTCTACTTTTTTCTAAAAGATATTGAGTTATTCTTCCTCCTACGATTACTCCACTGAAAGCAATAATTCGAATCATAATTTCTGCTCTGATACCATCTTTATTATCAATAAACCGCGGATTTTTTTATTCAAAATGAAACTATAAATCATTTAATCTTAAGCTCGAATGAAAAAATCTTTATCGAACGTTTTGTTACTTACTCTCTGAAGTAAACTTCCAAGTACTTTCCGAAACGACTACTATTATCGTTCCTGGGCGTTTTCGCGTTCCCGAAACTTTCCAACAGTGGCGTCGCCTCGAGGATTTGCTCGGTGACGAGGTTGTTCGGCGCCCGATTAACGGCGGCCAGATACTGCATTACGAGTTTCGTCGATTCCGTTTTACCCGAACCGGATTCACCGGAAATAACCACCACCTGATTCGCGCTGGCGTTGTTCGCCGCAGTCACTTGGCTGTAGGCCGAAGAGCCCACCGCGAATAGGTGACTGCAAATCACAATTAAAGTAATAATAAATATGGAGAACAATTTATTACAGAGAGGCTCATATTTATCATATGATAAATTATGTGAAATTATAGTTCAGATTTGTTTGCCACATGACTTCGTCGTTGAGTATAAATTATTTCTCTTAAAAAGATGTATGAGATAAATTAAACTCACGGTGGCAGCGTGCCGAGTATTCGTCCTTCGTAAAGCTTTACCTGGTCCAGGCCGTAAATGTCGAACATTTTATAAGGATTGACCGCGACCAATATGCTTCCCGTGTAAGTCTGTCATTAATAAATAACAAATACAAATTGAATTAAAACAATCCTTAATTTCAAGAAAGAGATGATATTAAAAAACGTACATATATTAATTCCTTGTCGTATCGGATCTTTAAGTTCCATAATAACGAAGCTTCATTCAGGTCGCTGCAATGTTAATGGAACTTCAAGCTAATGCAATTTTAATTTATATACAGAGAATATTTAGATTGTAGTAGCTCACGTTAACTGAATCATATCCTCCACTCCATTTTGCCCGAGATCCTGCCTTGGCTTCACCCCGCTTAGATTTGTGAGGGTGAAGATTTGAGGCTGAAAAGTTAAATGAAAATTGTAATCCAAATATTGGAATTATTCTTTTATTTAAAATGGATTAGAATATTTTATAATCTAATTTGTGTTATTCTCTTTTCTTTCAAAACTATAATTTTCTCACATCGTATGACAGAGTGGAACTATTGAAACTATTTTGGTACTTAAGGTTCAAATTAATCTGTATTAAGATTCTGATTATGGAAAGTCGATTTCAAATCGCTTGTCGTTTGGTAATCTTGCCCTGACGCACACAGACACACAACCTTGTCCTTGAGGACACCACTTTCCTCCGCGCGCGACCTTGACTTTTGAACAGGAACCTCGCACCATGACGGGCCCGTGGAAAATTTCTGAAGTCGCACACCTGTTCGGGTCGCTGCCCGATTCGAGGCAAAACCGAATTCACTGCGTCTAGAGAGAGAGGTGGCGATCCTTGCCTCTCTCTCTATCTATTTATATCGTAAGATTATAGTTTATAGTTGTTTTATTAATTAATAGTTAGTGATTTCTGATGGTCGATCATTTCTTCATAGGTTCACTGGTCAAGGTTCGCTTCCCAAAGTTGGTCGTCCCGATTAATTATGTCAGAGGCAAGCGCTGCCTTTTCTCCAGACAGTTTTTGTCCGATTTTCTCGACGGTTGCGACCCGATCTCCGGAGAGAATGCACGATAAAAAAGGAAGATTCGCGCGAATTCACATAAGTCGCGAAAGCCACTCACGTGAGACTTAACCGGATACCGGGTTGCTTGAGTTTGCAATCCCATTGGCGTCGCCTGTTACGATTACGGGTACACGAAAACGTTATTGTGTACGTAATAGAAATCCCGTTAGAACAATTATAATCAATTCTCAAATTCATATTGTGAAGACTTTTCGAGATGATTTAAATCTCGTTTAATGCTGGAAGAAATCGAGAGATCGTTTACCTCTTCACATTTATTTAATAATATATTTTCGTAATAATTGTTTCTTATTTCTACGCTTGTGTGAATCGCCTATAATGGGACACCGTTGAACTAGACTCCATGCAATCGAGAAATCGAATACAATACGCGGGAGAATAATCGATAGCGAGCCGTTAACCGCGGTTCGATTCGCGTTCATAATAAAACCGTGAGCGAATCGAACGAAATTACGTTGACATTGTATTTTTTTTTTAGAAGATGCTCCGTAATCGCATAGTAATCAGTCTAACGCACTGTGACCTGACGTAACGTCTGACTTGTTATGAATTTCCCTCGCGGCCAAGGAACCATTTGCGAAGTCATTCAATTATCCTGCACATCCATTTCGTATTACCAAAACCAATTAATGAATGAAGTAATAATTTTTTTCTATATTTCTAAAAATTTGTCTATAATAAAAATTACTGATGTCTCTTTAATGGGAGAAAAACTGCTCGCGGACGCGATTAGTGGCAAGACACGCGTGTCCTTGGAGCTTGAAAGTGCAGGATAGTGTTGCAACCGGCGTGCGGTCTACCCGTTTTCGATATGCACTTTCACGCGGGTATCGATACTCGGTTCGTATCAGCCGGTGGATGTAATTTTCCGCGGTGGTCTGCAGGCCACTTTCGCGGAAGCATTTCGCGGTATTTCGCCAACTATGCGAGGCATTCCCTCGACTTTCTAGCAACGCATTTGACTAGACGCGTACCCCGTTAGCCGCTACGGAAATCTCGTTTCCAGTTACCACTATAATACTACTCGTTCCTTTTCCTACCGCGACAAACGAGATACAAGGCTGTTCCACATAGCCATTGCTCGATCGACGTTGTTCGTGTTTACCTACGAATATTTTGCACGGACTATTGTAGGTGATCACTTGACGATGTTAATAAAGCTTGTGAACGAGTTTCATACGATTGGAGTTAGAGTGATCTAGCATTATTGGTCGGGAAATATTTAATGTGAAGAATCAATATTTTTACAGTTGGTTTATGGCCGAGGAATTCGGGACGGGTTCTTCTAATATTGGATTAAGATAATATTTCCACTCATCAATCATGTAATGTAGGTTGGCGGTTGTAATAGGCAACTTCGCCATTGTTGCCGCGCCAAATTACCCTGGCAAAAAAGTCAATGGAACACGGTAAGAACGTCGACCGACCGCCCGAAGCGGGTAGTCTCGCTTTAAGGAAATGCAGAATAACCGGTTGTTCCTTGGCCTCGAAGTAGCCAACTCGCATTGTTGACTAGCTAGCGTTCCAACACGCGCGTGGACCTATCTACTCCCTTCGAGATAATAGTAGAGAAATCGTAGTTTCATTGTCGGATGAGCGGTAAATAGGTATGCGATTTTGAAGAGGAGAAACGATAATGATCGTTGTTTCGTTAAACGCGGCGATAGAACGCGTTCCTTGTTTCATGCATCATAACCGAGGTTGTGTCATAGTTCTTGCATAACTGATCCGGTCGATTCGAATATAATTTATGACTCGATCTTGCTCGCGTTCATTCAGAGTTAGGTTTCTGTTTAGATCGGTTTCATACCTTGCCGGCGATCACTGCCTGGACCGAGAGTACGTTCGCCGCTCTGTGGTATTCCAAAACTTCTCCCGGTAGCACGTGGCCGACACCAGGGTCGAACCACACCAATTCACCCTGCAAGCAAAACACGATTCTTTCATGAACAAACATTTTCACCGATCTCAATACAATTCGCACTCTGATGTTTCAAATACTTCTGCATAACGAATTAAATTCTGAACGATTCCCTTTTGCACAGTTCAAAACGAGAAACGCAAGAATTTTGTATCTCTAACCGTTTTCACGTTCCACGTCGGGCAAGTGGAGATGGAATCGACTTTCGTAGCACTGTTAGTGGATGATTGCACTTTTCTCTTCCCGGTACAGAACCCGAAAATCGACGAGGTTACCGGCGAGTTGGAGCGACAACTGATCGCGTCGCTGTACGCCCTGACGTGGCTCGTTGACTTTTTCACGTAATTCGACCTCTCTTTATTCTGTTTCGAAGATGAAACCCCCTTGTCAGTCTCTTTCGGCGATTTTCTGCTGCCCGATGGACTCTCGGTGGTGCACTTTCTCGAACTTTTCACATAACTGGGAAGAGTGGTCGCCAACCTGGTGTCTCGCTGCGTCGAGCGAAAGTTTTCGATCAACCTGCTCTGAGACTTCGATCTCGTCTTAGTTAACTCCTTTGATTTGGCTCGAGTGCTGGATCGAGATTCGCGCCTGTCGATCCCACGTACGCCACCCACGTTAGCTTCATTAACCTCGTTCAAACCCTTCTTCGTTTGAACGTCGAAGTCCTTGCCCTGATACGATTGACTCTCTGACTGAAATTCCGACTGAATTTCGATAGAATCTACCTCCTCTCCATAAGAGTCTTTCGTATTCTCGATGATCCTCCTGCGCGACATGGTCCTCTGACTAGCATCTGTCTCGTTCTCGTTTCTACTATCGTTTTGCGATTCGATCTTATTAGTGTCACACCTCTGTGAATCTTTATACGCTTTCCGTGACACTTTAGCGTATACGGCATTCTTGTGGGGGTTGGTTCTCATTTCAACAAGCGGCAGGGTTGCCGAGCAGTACGGCGTATCAGGCACCGGGTCGCGAAGGTGTCTCGTAGTAGTCCTGAACTCCACATCCACGGCCCTTTCCCTGACGCGAAGGCTGCCAGGTTTCGGGTACCTGGTCAAAGTATTCAACGACGACGAAGAACCCTTGACAGTGCTGGTATTGGCAGGCAACGAAGTCTTTCTTCTGCGTATCCTGCCATAAACAGGTGGCTCTTTCCTGACCGCGTCCTTGGTCAGCCTGTGACTGACCCAATCCTCTTTACTCGACCTGGACGCGTGTATTATCTTAGGCAGGGTCGACGGTCTCGGCACGAGGCCGCGAGTGATGTCCTGTAGTTTGCTGGTGACTGCCAGGAGATCGCAGACAGACCTGGACTCTCTCTCGTCCTCTTTGCCCCACCCAGGGTGCCTCCTCGGGAAAACGGAGGAGGATTTCACGGTGCCAGGGCCTTTCGCCTCTGAACTTTCTACCTTCTCCTCGCCGCGACCTCTTCCTCGAGAGACTGGAACGTCCACGCTCGCGCGTCTACGTAATATGTCTTGCCTGGAGACCCTACGAGCCGTCTGCGTCGATTGACCCTTCCCCAGTTCCTTAATCGACTTCTTCGCGATGGAAGGCAAAGTCCTTGGTCTTTCATGTTGATCCTTATCCATTTCCGGTCTCTTCCAACGGTGACGCAACGTCTCGGAAAACCTCGCCGGGTTTTCCTTATCTTCCTTCTCTTTGCTGTATCTACGTAGGATCTCTCTTCGGGACACAGTCACATCCCTCGGCACGGTGTGTAACGCTTCTTGGTTCGTCGGCTTGTTTTGCTTCGCACTTTCCGCGGTCCTATCGCCTCCCGGCTGGTCCAGACCCCGGCGGACGGAAGTCTGACGCCTTCTAACGACGCGTTCCGCGGATCCTTTGGAATTCGGAGCGGAATTTGTATCTGGGTCTGGGCCGGCGGAATTATGCAATGCGCGTCGAACGGATAACGGTTCCGTGCTGGCGTAGAAAGCTTCCGAGCGCGTGTTTCGTGACGAAAACCGATTCCCCGAGGTCGACGATCGCGTAGACCTGCGCTCGACTCTCTTGCTGCAGTCCATCTTGATCACCGTTCAGTTTCGATCGACATTTTCAAAAAGCAAATTGTCAATTTTCCACTCGGGTATTTATGTGTGTTACGGGATTGGTTAGCGTGGAAAGCCTTGTGAGTCATCCAGTTTTCCACTTTCTATCACGGGCAATAGGCCGGTACGTTCGACGTTTGAAAATGTTCCCAGGGCGTGCACGAGCGAGCACATTTTTATGAACCGCGCTAACGGTAACGTCATTTAAATCACAAGCAGACCATCGCGAGGCGAATGTAACCCCGGCTCGAGTTTTAACCGTGTGCCAGTTTAACGTCAATTAACACCGGGCGTGTACCAGGAATTCGCTTAGACCTGACCTTGTTATCGGCACTAATCGCGAGCTTTATTAGGCAGTTACACCGTTTCTCGTCTAACCTGTAACTGAACGCTACACCGTCGATGGCTAACACGTATCGAGGTATTATGCGCGGCTCTTTATCATTCAGAGATTTCTCAACGGTGAGATATTTGAAAGTTCTTTATTGAAAATGCAAAACGGCCCGGGGTTCAAGGTTAACAGACAGTTAAGACCCCTCCGGGCATGAATACTCTTTCTATTTGCAGAAAGCTTGGGCAAACATGACCCGGCTCGTAAACTTGTCTCTCTTGCTAGTCAAAACCAGACATGTCAGTGACCTTGCTCCCAGCCTATGCCATCATCATCATCATCATCATCATCATCGTTATCCCAACGATTCGAGCGTATCCTCTCGAAACCGAAGAATTATTCACGTATTTCCTCTCGCAATTCATCTCGGCCCATCAGAATTTTTCGTCACGTTCGGAGAACAGTTCGAAAGAGACGATGCCTACGGAAGATCATTTATCACTGAAAAGTGGTTTAAGCGCCAATGAGATTACTGGGCGACGCGGATGCTCAAGGTTCATCACGTTTGATGAATCTGGACACGTCCCGTGAAGATTTGAGACAATACTGGGTGGAATACTGTCGCGCATGTTAAATTCGTCTTAAAGGGAGTTAGGAGGCCACCGAGACGGTTACTATCGGGCACAATGGGTCAGCAGTCTCGAAAAATCCGTGCTGCTCGCGTAGAATGCGTTAACGGTCCGACTCTTCCTATGGGACCTTTTGGAAACACTTCCACGTAGCCGTCCGTCAATCCTAAACTTGACGCTTCAGCTTTATATACCCATAAATCTCATCCGTCTTTAGCATTCCATTCTCTCGAGAGAAGTTTCGCTGGATCAATTGATTCTTCCGAAGTTGCGACATCCCTTCACTATTTTCAAATCGTGCCTCGTTGAATATTCGTCGACACGTTCTTAATTAAAATCAGTGTTTCAATCGACGTCCACACTTGTAAACTACGAATATGATTATGCGGGACAAAAGTGAATAATCGAGGTTCGTTCCACTGGCATTAACCATCCCAGGAATTTCCTATTCACTACACTGCGACGCCGTGACACTCGTCCTCATCTCCCTTCTCCACCGGATCTCGCTGTCCTTCGACTCGTTTCACAAGCTAGTTTCACGTACACGGTGTATCCCGCGACGAGCATCACAAAACACACGAGGAACCCGGGCCACTTGAAACAGGGTCCCGCTTTCCACGTCGCAGATATCCTTGATCCGTCCTACTTGTTTGAAAAATCGGGGTCAAACTTAGGTACAGTCGTATCGCGACAGATACGACACTGAAACGAACGATAAGAGGACGATAGGGTTGGTCTCGTGCTATCTGGGTCTAGGGGGACTTTCGAAGAAGTGGAATCGGATTCCGCGATCCGGACGCGAAGATGTTCGATGCAACACTGGAAGTTCTACGCCTCTTCTCCGCAACAATTGCCGCGTCCAGTGGCGTACACAGTTTTTAATTAGTCCACTGAGGTAATTAGACGAATGTCCGTTCCCAAGGAACCGCTCCTTCGGTTTCCCTTTCGACGAATGACCGAAGACGACGCTGACGCGCAGTGCCCGTGGGTTTAACCGATTGCGAAGTCCTATTAATTGGCGGGGCTCTTCGCCCACTTTCCACCGAGGCCCGAAGAAGGTGCCGGCGCCAGTGTATCGAAGTGCTTTGGGGTGGAACCAAGCGTGCCTCTCTTCTTATATAAATTACGCGCTAAATACGCGTACGCCTACGTGGAGCTAGCCTAGCTGGGATATAGGCTGCGGCCACAGGCGAACGGGAAGCGATTCTCTAACTAGCCACCGTGGCGAGTTGCAGAAGCGACTTGCCGTTCGCGGCTGTCGATGGTAAAAACCGATTGTGTTCGCAGAACCGTTCGACCCGTGCCTCGTACGAGTCTATTCCCTATCGCGAGACGCTCATCGAAATCTTTTTTAAAAAAATCGTGCTTTCGACCCTTTCGTAATTAAATTTGTTCGTGGTGGAGGAACAGTGTGCGGAATTTGTAACGAGTGATTTTATCGGAATCGGTTACGTGCCTTTCGAAAAGTCATTGCGAGTTAGTTCGGAAATTTCGCTTGGACAGTGAAAGAATTATGTAAAATCGTTGTACATTCGATACTCGTGGATTGGTTCTCACTTTTAAGCCAGTGCAACTATCCAGTCGCGTAATGAACCCGGTGTATAATAATTGAGGAAGGCATCGTCGCCGGATAGCGTAACCGGGTAGCATTACATATAGGAAATTGAAGTAATGCAACGCGCGTTGCTTCAGCACCGATAATTAATGCACCACCATTTCCTTTTCTGATTATTATTGAGCGTCGTGCGGGCTTTCAAATTTCACCGGTGTTGCCATACAATTTTTCCCTCCCACCAACCCCCGGAATTTCTCTTTTAAGAGAATGTTAATGTTTATAAGACTTAAAAGTAATCTAGGCGGTATCGGGTTGTCGAACGCGGTAACCGCGAAGCGCATAGGCATTCGAAAGTGGCCGGGGTTGCTGGTACGACGACGCAGTTGCGTGTACACAGATCATTGCACTCCGACCACGCAACTATCTCCGCAGCGATCCTGACCACGTAAACATTGTGCAACCGTACAATGGGACGGGGAACAATAGTCTTTCATAGGAGAGACTAGGCACTATTTTTTAGTACTTTCTTTATTGCTCCAAAAATATCTCTGACGCGATACTCATTCGACCAGAGATCTTATGGATTCATACGAATATTGAACGAGCAATGCATTTTTTGAATTCAAATCATAAACGTTGTACATAAAAACTAAGCATAAGCGAAATTTGATGAAAAACAGCGAGAGGAATTACTTGTATGTTTTCGAACGACACATCCGGAGAGGATACGGATTGCTGTTTTTCTATAAAGTAAATTTAGCCGCGCGATACAAATGGGTGTAATTTAGTATGAAGGATTGGAGCCGACTCACCTTTTGCCACTCGGCGTGCATCTTGAGATTGCGTTAGATAACTGTCCAAAGTAAACGAGCTACCCTCATTTTGCACGGCCAGCTGCGGGTTGGTGGTATTTCCTTGCTGCAATAAGTGAGATTCTCTTATTAGTCCAATCAACGTAGCGAAATTTGTTTGCCAATCATCCACGCAGATTACAAGTCAAACAGAATCTAATTGGCGTCGATTTCACTAAAACCTATTAAGATTCTTTGGAAATTAGCAATTATTGATTTGGTCGGTCGTCGCACGACGGCAAACTCGCCACGCGTGATTAGAATAACTCGCTAGCAGGAAGCGTGCAACGGGTGTCACTCGACTTCCGGTATCGATGACAGGATGCGCTCAGAGTTAGCAGCCAGCAGCTCAAAAATTCAATCGATCCTCTCAGAACTCCTCTCGCCTCGGGATGGGAAAACTATTAGGTACGTGCCGTTTAGATCCGAAGACGTGATGCGAGTGTGAAGCGATTGCTCGTTTGACACGGTGTTCACGGCGATGACGAACCATCGGATTCCGCAGTGGTCAATTCGACTCGACCTTGTGTTCTTGTTCAATCGACCGGAGCGCGGATTTCTCTCAAATCTATCTCCCATATTTAAAAACGTGCATTACGCACATCGTGATTTATTGCACGATTTGTTATACGATCAGGGCTATATAATTTATTTAAAGATTTAGGACCATCTCTGATGGTTACTAATTTGGAATATTTTTTTTTTTTGAAGTCTCCTAAGAATAATGAACAATATTTTGCAATATTGATAATGCCTCTTCGGAAATCGCATAAGTCTATCATTCGCGTGGTTGATATCCATCTGGGTTCAGAAACACGGGAAGTGTCGCAAAGTATTTGCGTGTAGTTCACTAAAAAATTGATGCATGTTCAGGTGATTCATAATTCGCTACCTTGAGCGGGAAAAAAGGATTTCTTTCAACCGTTTGTGAAAGCGATCTTCGCGTTCCAGGAATAGCGGAACTGTCGCAAGAAAATGATCTCTTGCGCGAGCGATTAAGAAACGACAATCGGCTGTGCCTCCTTTCTCGATAGATGAAATGCTATTTATTGTTAAGGAGAAAGTATAAGCCGCCATGTGTGACATTTTTATACAGTCAGCATCGTGTAACGATATACAGAATGAGTCAATGACAGAATGAGCTAAGAATAGCCAGACAAAATAATTAATGATTCCTTCCTTTCGTCAGATGTGAATTTTTTATGAAGTTCATTGAATTAATGCAACTTTAATGAAGGTCCATAATAAAATCATTAAATCTTTAGATGACAATTATTGATTGATAAAATTTGTAATAAACAACGCAAGAAGTTGTATGAATAATTAATGTACTGCAACATTTGAGGAGCTCGAAGTACCAATTGCTTGTAACTCCAACTTGAAATCTATAATTTTACTGACAGTTAAAATCTAATCTAATCTAAGATCCTGGTTGATCCTCAGATCCGCGCGTGAAAACATCTTTCGTTCCACTTGCACACGCGTGATTACTTTCATCAATAACTACCGTGCTAGAATCATACTCGTTTATGTTACCGATAACGTGACTCGTTTGCCACCTACGACACTCGGCCGTAAACGTTTCAATGCCACCGTAAAATGCAATCGGTTAACGATCCTCGCTAATAGTCCCGGACGAGGTTTCAAGTATCGGAGGAAGGTAGCGAACAATGACGAAA